ATTTAATGAAATAAAAATGATTAATTTATACAAGTTAATTCACGTAAATTACAGCTTTATGTTGCTTTTTTAGGATGGCAAAAACACCCCTGGTGCAAATAAAACCACATCAAAACACAACTCTGCTGCCACCTCAGTGTCCACCTCGTGTTGGGCTGAATTCCCGCAGAACCAAAATAAAAACCTGCACAAAAAACCCGAATTTTCCAAAGAAAAGAGATCTTGAAATGCTGCCTAAGAGGAATAAATTTTAGAGGAAGCAAATTGATGCAAAGTCTTTATTAATTTGAAGATTGGCATGTCTGCACCGGCTCCCTTAACAATAAAATTAACGGTTGCCAAAGCAACCTTCAAAATCRGAGGGAATCCATCTATTTTGTAAAATCTACTGTCTGAACTTGTGACACGGCTGTTGATTAAAATTTGCAATTAATATTAATTATTTAAACCTAGATAGCCTGAAAGGGCAGGTCCAGCACACGCTGTCAGCGCARGAATTCAAACGCAAAGCCCCCAACCTCCTTTAAATGACTAAATTACTTTAATATCCATAAAATCAGAGTTATAATCAATGAATTTTGGAAGGAGCTCGGTGTACAAATGGACCAATATCAGCAGGGTTGGTCAGAGTTGGTTTTTTTTTCCATTGGGGATGTTTGGGATGAAAATTTCCAGGTTTTCTTCCCTCTCTGCCCAGAGCTCCATCCCTGCAGAGGATTCAGCTGTACTCCCATAGATTTAACAAACCAGACCCCAAAATATTGATCCAGGCACCTCCACACAGCTGAACTTTGAGCTGATGTAAGAAATGAGCAGAGATTTGGGAATCAGTGGGATTTGACAAATCTGGATGGATCTCCATAGTTGAGACTCCAATCTGATATCAGAATCGAGCAGAGATTTGGAAATCAGAGGGATTTGACAAATCTGGATGGATCTCCACAAAGTTGAGACTCCAATCTGATATCAGAATTGAGCAGAGATTTGAAAATCAGTGGAATTTGACAAATCTGGATAGATCTCCACAAAGTCAAGACTCCGAGCTAATATCAGAATTGAGCACATATTCAGAAATCAGWGGGATTTGACAAATCTGGAGGGATCKCCACAAAGTTGAGACTCCAATCTGATATCAGAATYRAGCASRGATTTGGGAATCAGTRGGATTTGACAAATCTAAATGGATCTACACACTGACCCACCCTCAAACCCTATCCACCCCCACTCCAGTGTCCCTCTCTTTGGTCCCATTTCCTCTTGGTGACACTTCAGGGTCCCAATTCACCGCAAGTCCAGAGTTTTACATCAATAACTCTGAAAATCCACCCTGAGCTGGGCGATGGCACCKCTGGCACCTCACTCCACTTTCTGTGTTCATTTTTGTTTCCACTTTCTGTGTCTCATATCCCGCCCTGCTCTTGCACAGAGGATTTGCTGCACCCTCAGGGGGGTTCTGGGGGTCTCCAAATTTCAACTGCTGCCACACAAAGGGAGCTGGATCCAAAACTGGGCACTTAAAGCTCTATAATTAAAATTATTTCATTCAGCCAGGGAGAGCTCAGAGCCCCTGAAGGGGCTCCAGGAGWGCTGGAGAGGGACTGGGGACAAGGGCTGGAGGGACAGGACACAGGGAATGGGGTCACACTGCCAGAGGGCAGCGATGGATGGGATATTGGGAGGGAATTGTTCCCTGGGAGGGGCGGGGATGGAATTCCCAGAGCAGCTGTGGGTTCCCCTGGATCCCTGGCAGTGCCCAAGGCCACCCTGGGAGCACCCTGGGACAGTGGAAATGTCCCTGCCATGGCAGGGGTGGCTCTGGATGGGCTTTATGGTCATCCCAACCCAAACCATTCCAGGATTKGTGAGTTGGGTTTGATCCAAATCCAACCCCAAATTCCCAGGACTGAACCCATCAGCTCTGGTGGCCTTTGGGGCAGAACAGGGGCTGTCACAGCTGGAAAAAACAAAACCCTCCTGCCCATTTCCCCTCTGTCCCACTTTTCCTGGAGCCCTTTGTCCTCCTTGACCTTCCCCCAGTCCCAAATCACCCCAGACGCTTTTTAGGGTGACCACTGTGACCTCCAAACCCCACAGATCTAAGGGATGGTGTTTGTTCCTGATCCACAACGACCCTTCCTGAGCTCTCATCTGCAGCAGAGCCATCCTTGAAAACCCCAAAAAATTCTTTCTGTGGCCCTGAGCCTCCCCAGCCATTCAATTCTCTCCAACAAAAATGGTTTTGCCATAAAACTCCAGCAGGAATTCAGTTTTTAAGTCGTCCACATCCATGTTAATTTTGGCCCATCCCCTACATTTAAAAGATTATCGCTTAAGATTCTTGCACATTTTAAAACCAGGTATTTTATTTATCCTGAATGYATTTTATTTGTACTGACTGTGTATCAGCTATTTATCTCCTCAATCTTAAGCCTTAAGCCTTTAAAAAAATATAAAAGTTTCATATTACTATGGAAAATTCAGATACAGATAAAACCCTCTCATTTAAATTTGATCCTGGGCATTTTTATTCTAATCCCTGGYATTTCTAGAAGATTCCCTTCATCTCCCAGCTTCCTTTTCCTGAAAATGTCTTTTTATATTCCCTTAAACATTGCAGAGTTTCACAATATGAACTCCCACTACTGAATTAGCAATTTATTATGAAGAGCACAAAAGAGCTCGGAACAGAAATCTGTCAGGACATAAATAATTTCCCAAACATGATTTTTGCTCTTCCTGCACTACTAATAACAGCTYAAAATGAGAAAATTAAAGATCCTTTCTGTTTGTATCCCTCATTCTGAGTTTTGCTGGGTTGTGACAATCAGATCTTCCCCAGTTTATTTCTGTTCATGTCACGATCAGGTTCCAATAAAATCACTCYGCTGCTGTGTTTGTTAGAGGCACCACAGGGGAAGATTTAATTTTCATTTCTACCTTAACTTTATTTCTATCTGACCGTTTGGTTTCCTTTGAGCAAACAAAAAAATCTTCAGCAAAAACCTCATTTTTGTTCGATCTGAGGATGGGAAAAGCTGTTCTTGGGGCTGCCCAGGAGCAGAACCTTGAGCAGGGAGCAGCTCAGGTGGGATGGGAAAGAGGTTTTTTGTGCCCACACCTGCTCAGGATGGAATTTTTTTGTGCCCACACCTGCTCAGAAAAGAGTTCTTGTGCCCACACCTGCTCAGGAAGGAATTTTTTGTGCCCACACCTGCTCAAGAAGGAGTTTTTAGGGCCCACATCTACTCAAGGAGTTTTTTTGTGCCCACACCTGCTCAAGGAGTTTTTTTGTGCCCACACCTGGCTCAAGGAGGATTTTTGTGCCCACGTTTGCTAAGGATGGAGTTTTTTGTGCCCACACCTGCTCAGAAAAGAGTTTTTGTGCCCACACCTGCTCAGGAAGGAATTTTTTTTGTGCCCACATCTGCTCAGGATGGAGGTTTTTTGTGCCCACACCTGCCCAGGATGGAGTTTCCTCTGCCCACACCTGCTCAAGGAGATTTTTGTGCCCACCCCTGCTCAGGAAGGAGTTTTTTCATGCCAACACACTCTCACAAAGGAGTTTCTTTGCTTTAGAATTTGTGAGAGCACTCAAACCTTAYCCCAAACCACGAACCACGATCTAAAACCAGGGATGAATTCTGCACTTTTACCCTGCAAGGCCAAGGAGGGGAAGATCTGCTCAGGGGCTGGATCAGGGCCCAGCTCCATCCTGCACAGCCTGTGCTCAGTGAAATCTCTTTTCTACCTTTTGCTTTCTCTCCTCTGCCTTTTTCCTGATTTTTTTTCCAAACTCTTGATGAAAAAGAAAAATCCTGCAGAGAGGAGGATCCTTGTGCAGCACTCAGGACATGGATGGGATGGGAAGGATGCAGAGGATGCTCAGAGCAGGAACTGCCTGATCCTGCAGGTTGTGTTTTCTACAGCCAGAAACCTCCACTTTGCACCAGCTGAAATARAAAATTGAACTCCCCCAGGAGCTGGGCCTGGAGCTCAACATCAACTTGACAAAACCAAGGTTTAAAGTTCCTTCTCCTGCCTTAGGCTGTTTCTCTCTAGGGCGAAGAAGCCAAACCTAAAATCTAAAAAGATTATTTTATTTGGTTTATCTGTTTTATCTATTTTCTCTGCTTCATCTGTTTTATTTTAACTGTTTGAATTATTTTTTTTTGTCACTAAGAATGACAACAAAGAAGCCCCCAAACACAGAGGAAAACTGTTAGAATAAAGCAGCACCGCTGGGATTTTTGGGTGCAGGACATGCTTGAGTTTAAACCAAACCCAGGGAGGCAAATCCAGGGATTTTGGATCAAACCCAATCTCACCCAAGCACGTGCTCACCCTTGGGTGTTATTCCACAAACCAGCAGAGCAGCAGGAATACCAAAAAGCAGGGAGATGGTGGGCAGAGCACAGAGAGACAGGACCAGCACACGGATTTAGCAGAGGATTGTGACAGGGATGGGATTCCTGAGGCTCAGAGAGAGAGGGGGAAAAGGCATTCATGGGGTTTTGGTCAAAATTCAGTCATGGCTGATGGGTTTAGGAGGAATTTTCCAGCCATTTTTCAGTTCCACTGAAAGGAAAAAAACTTCCTCTGATGTGTTGATCTAATTGCCAGCAATTTCCATTGCCAGGCAGATGAAATAAATAAACACAGGGGCAGAACGAACTCCAGAGCATCTCAGCAGCAAATATTATCATCAAGGTCCTTTTTTTTTTGCAGATTTTTCCTTGGGAATGGAAAGGTTTTTCTTTCTTTTTCAAATTTTTCTTTGGGAAGCTCAATCACAGGCTGCTTTCACCGAAGGGCTGCAAATAATTCTCCTACCAAARCAGAGGGGAAAGGTTGGAAATTCTGATTGTAACTTACATGGCTGTTGAGCAAACTGCTTTTGTGTGATGTAATCCCTTCATTTTTTTGGAGGTTTTCAATCGCCATTTCAAGCTAAAGAAAATGCGCACAGGAGAGAAAAAAAAAAGAAAAAAAAAACAAAAAAGGGAAAAAAAAAGAAAGGAAATCAGATAGTAAAAAAAAAAAAAACAAAACAAAAAAGGGGAAAAAAAAGAAAGGAAATCAGATAGTTAGCAACAGCCAGGATTATTGTTTCTTTATTAATATTTGAATGATTAATGCTTTCTATCAACAAGCTGGTGAAAAAGAGGTGAACAGATGAGCACAGTTGGTGTGGATGGAGCTGCAGAGGCRTTGCTGGGACATGCACATGGACACACAGCAGGAATCCCCACGGGGGTGACAGAGCAAGGCCAGGGGGGTTTTATCTTCCACTAAAAGTGCTGCCCATTTCGAAAAAAAAGTCATTTTCCTGCTCTTTTTTCCCTGCTTGCTGAGAGCAAATCGTGGTCAGACAGATCTGCTGCAGGGTTTTACTGAGACCTTTCAAGGAGAGCTCAGTTATTGTCACCTCTTCATATTTTATCAAAAAWTTTAAATAAAAGATTTCTTGGGGTGTGAGGAGAGTGCACAAACTGGAATGGGTAAGGCTTTGTGATGCTGAGAGCTGCAAAGGGAAGGAGGGAACAGCCAGGTTTTCACAGTTCTGCCCCAGGATGGCACATTCGGTGCTGCCTGGGATGGTTTTTATCAATCTCAGAGGAGCCAAGGTGAGGACCCTGAGGAGCTCCCTATCCCTGCCTGGCTCCTGTTCCACCCTCAGCCCAGCTGGGGCTGCTGCTTTGTGCCTCAACCCTCTCCTGAACCCTTTGTGTCTTCTCCTTTCTGCCACTGGGAAACTCCTCAGAATTCCAACAGCTGCTGGTCCACAGCTCCAGAGCTCATCTTCAAGCTTTTTACAAGAAAAAAAAAACCCAAACCTCCAAAACCCTACAGGAAGAGCCTGGCAGGAGCAGAACCTACAATTTCTCTCCAGCAGATGTTCCCAAAGTCATTATCACAGGACAGAACCTGCAGCAGAGCCCCCTCTGCCTTCTCCCCGTTTGATGGTCACACAAAGCATCTACAGATGATGCGGCCATGGGTTTCTCTCCACCCTCACAGCCTGCTCTGACCCACCCCACGGTGGAGATTGAGGCTGAGATAAACCCAGCCCTTCCCAAAGCTGGGCTCTGTCTAAACCCAGCCCTTCCCAAAGCTGGGCTCTGTCAGAAGGGGCAGAGCAGAGCAAAGCAGAGCCACATCCCACAGCCAAAGCCACCGGACAGGGGAGGGTGAGGATTCACCTCCAGCACTGTCCCTTGGCTGCCACCCCAAAGTGAAGCCACTGTGGCACTTCTTGTTCTGAGCCTCAGGATTTCAGTTTCTCTATTTCCATGTCTCTGTACCCCTGGGATTCTCCAGTGTTTAACTCCAGACTCCACAGACAGTGCTGAGCTCCTGCTCTCCCATTTT